TCCCCATTCCTGCTGCATCCCGGCCTGGGGGAGAGAGGGAATGGGAATTTGAGCTCCCCATTCCTGCCGCATCCCGGACTAGAGAGGAGAGGGAATGGAAATCCGTGCTCCCCATTCCTGCCGCATCCCGGCCTGGAGGGGAGCAGGATGTGAATTTGAACTCCCCATTCCCGCTGTATCTCGGCCTAGATAGGAAAGGGAATGTGAACCAGAGCTCCCCATTCTTGCCCCATCCCAGCCGGGCTCCTCAGCAATGTGAATTTGAGCTCCCCATTCCTGCCCCATCCCGGCCGGGCTCCTCAGCAGTGTGAATTTGAGTTCCCCATTCCCGCTGTATCCCGGCATGGAGGGGAGCAGGAACGTGAACCAGAGCTCCCCATTCTTGCCCCATCCCGGCCGGGCTCCTCAGGGATGTGAATTTGAGTCGCCCATTCCAGTTGCATCCCGGCCTGGAGAGGAGCGGGATGTGAATTTGAGTTCCCCATTCCTGCCCCATCCCGGCCGGGCTCCCCAGCAATGCCCTCCCGGTGGGCACTGCCCGCCCCTCGGCCCTGGCCCAGCACAGAACCCGGTCTCTCGGTGCCACCCTGGGATCAGGGATGTGTTTCCTTCTCTCCCAGCCTTCCAGTGCCCGCTATGGATTTTCTGCCAAGTCCCTTTGGAAATGACAGAGGAGCTGGTGGCCTTCCCCAAAAACCGCTCTCCCGAGCTCCAGGGAAGGTGGGAGTGCTTGGGAGGGACAGGACAGCTCTGCTGGGCTGTGCAGGGCATTCCTGGCGGGAATGTGTTTGTTCCACCAGGGAAACGCTGCCTTGGCCGGGCTGTGGGGAGAGATGGAAAACCACTGGCTCGGCTCCCCAGGACCGAAACTGGCTGGGGTTTGGGACAGGTTTGCAAACCCGGTGGTGGAAGGCAATACAATAAAAAAAATTAGGAGACAAATCCACCATCCTCATCCTGTTCCCTGAGCCCCACACAGCATCAGCCAGTCCCGGGGCCGAGCCGGCTCCCCTGAGCGGCGGGAGAGGGGCTGTGGGGGTTTGTGCTGCTCCTTCAGGGGCTGAAATACAAATCTGGTCATGGCAGCCTTCAAAAGTTACCCTGGGCCTTCCTCCTTCCTTCACTTCTTCATTCCATCCCCTCTGATTCGGCCAGGCTGGAGTCACCTGTTGTGACAGGTTCTGATCGCGGTACCGAGATCCCTATCGCAGCTTTTAAACAGTCAGCAAAGGATCCTCTCGCCTCTCCTGTGACACCAGCCCGCCCCAAAAAGCTCTCATGGGACACCAGCCCACCCTAAAAGTCTCTCCTGTGAAACCAGCCCGCCCCACTGCGGCACCAGCCCACCCCAAAGGGCTCTCCAGAAACACCAGCCCACCCCAAAAAGCTCTCATGAGACACCAGCCCACCCCAAAGGGCTCTCCAGAAACACCAGCCCACCCCAAAAGGCTCCTCTGCGACACCAGCCCACCCCAAAAGGGCTCTCCAGAAACACCAGCCCACCCCAAAAGGGTTCTCCTGTGACACCAGCCCACCCTAAAAGGCTCTCATGAGACACAATCCCACCCCAAAGGGCTCTCCTGAGACATGAGCCCACCCCAAAGGGTTCTTCTGAGACACCAGCCCACCCCAAAGCACTCGCCGTGGGGTGTTTGGGGTGACAGGGGACGGGGCCCAGGGACAGAAGGGGACACAGCAAGGGGACGATGCTCGCAGCCCCGCAGGAACTCTCCAGAGGGGACAGGAGCGGCGCAGATCCCGTGCTGGAGCATCCTGCAGGACGAAGTGGGGAAAAAAACACCAAAAAAAGGAATTTTGGGGGAAAAGGGGATGCCAGGAACTGTCCAGCAGCAGCGCGGGGGGAGCTTGCAGAGCCCTGGGGGTGTCCCAGATCCCATCCCTGCCTGAGGAAAAGGGTCCCCAAATTCCCATCTTCCCAGGGAAGGTGTGGGAGCGACCCCAGGATTGCTCCACGCGGGTGGGAAAAGCCATAGCAGGCACCTGACCTCAGCCATCCCCCCCACAGCCACCCGGGACCCACGCAGGAAAAACATCCCACGGGAAGATGGTCTGGATTGTGGAAGAATTATTTCCCAATTCGTATTTCCCCCCCTTTTTCTCCTATTTATTTTCTTTTCATCATTTTTCCCCTTTATTCTCCTATTTTTTAATCCTTTACACTCTGTATTTTCTCTTATTAAGAAAGCACTCTGACTTTTATTTCATTAAAAAATAATAAAAAAGAAGAAAAATATAAAATTAGCTAAAAAACTCCCTCCGACAGCCAGGAAAAACGGCGGGGAGGTTTTTTTACAAGAATGTTCCTTAAAACACAGATCAACTGAGGTTCAGACATTTTTTTCTCATTTAAATCGAGACTTTCGCTGCTTTTTGCCAGCTTTCAAGCGCAGGCGAAATTTAACCGGTCAAAACCAATTTAGATCATCGATTTTAACAGCCTGACGAGGGTATAACACAAAAATAAAGGATTTGAGGGATACTGGGGGGCTGCGGGAGGTGGGATGGGGCACGGGTGGGATTTTTTGCTGCATGGATGTGATTTTATAGCTGGGAAAGGAGCCTGGCTCCAGAAATCTGGGCTTGAAAAGTTCCAGAGATCTCCTAAACTCGGCTTTAGGCTTTGCCGGCATTCCCAGGCTCTCGGGATTGCTAAATCCGGCGCTTTGCCCTGGATTAAAAACCTTGAACAGGTTAAAAGATGATTTGGAAAAAGCCAGAATATCTGACAGAACCCGGCCTTGCGAACCTGAGCATCGATAAATGAAAATAAAAAGTTAAAAACAGCCAATTCTTCCACCAAGAGAGGATTTCAAACCCGAAACGATTCCCGAGTGAACTTTCCACCTTTCTAAGACTCCGCGGCGAGGCCGGGTTGAAATGATCGCTCTCACTCCCAGGCACTCGGGATTCCTTTCAAGAAAACCAAATAAATAAATAAATGAAATGGATTTTTTTTTTTAGGGGTGGGTGGGTGTTTTCTGCCCTGGGAAGAGACGGCTCCGGGCGTGCAAGGAGGGGGCGAGAGGAGCAGAAATTCCCCTCCCTTCGCCTCCTCTTTTCCTGTTTTCCCCATGGCAGGCCTGGGAAAAATCCCGAAATTTCACCCTGGCAGGGATTTGGGATTGAGCCCCGCTGTTTTTCCTTCCCCACCCTCCCCAGTTGTACAATTCCAGCTCTTCACGTGAATTCAACCTCGTCTCCAAGAAAGAAACCTCCAGGAAAATCATTTTTCTTTTAAAAACAACCACTGCCACGTTTTCTGCGTGAAGGAAGGAAAAATAAAAAAACCTGTTAAAAAATCCCCAGTTTATACACAGAGAAGCGGCAGACTTGGAGCAGAAAAAACCAGCATGGATTTATTTTAAGGTAAGTACAACAATTAGGACCACATAAGACAAACGAACTTTGAAGCAGGTTAAAGCAAATAAGTCTTTAGGAATGGTAAAGGTGAAATCTATTATACAAAACATCACACGTCGTAAATAATAATAAAAAAGTATCAGATACTTTGTCTATTTTTTTTTCCTTAAAAAAAAAAATCCACCAGCAAAAAATAAATTATTTCCTCGTCTTGAGAAAAGAACAGCTCTAAAACGAAAGAAAATCTATTGCATAATTGTACACAGAAGAAAAAGAAATCACTTGTCATGAATTTGGAAGTTAGGAACCGTTGGGCGAGAAAAAAATAATCCAGTGAACTCAACTTTAAATATTATATTAATGGCTCTGAAAATCAGCCTGATTAGAAATCCACATATTTTTTACAGCACAACAGAGAACTCAAAAATACCCAGGACATATATTTATATATATATTTATAAACTTTTTTTTTT